AAGGAGCTCTTGCCCAAGGACAGCAGGCCTTCCTTTGCTGGCTCTTCTTCAGGGAACACGTCCACTACCCTCTGACACTCCTGCCTCAATGCAACCCCTCGGGGTTCCTCCCTTCCCCCCAGCATCCCATTCCAAGCCCCATGTCCACTGGCTGTTCATGGTGTGAGTGTCACTGAAGCCCCCATTGTGGTGCCAGCAAGGGGCAAAGGCCACTCACCAGGCCCCCTCTGCATGGTTTAGAAAGCCTGCCCTAGTGCCCACCCCGTCCCATCATCACTAGGCCGACGCTAGAGCTCTGCCCATCCTGCCACTGGCCACAGCCCGCTGCTTTGCAAGAAGTGCAAATCAAAACCCCAATGACCTGCCACCTCACACTCACTAGGATGGCTCTTATCACACACACAAAACCTCATGAAATAGTAAGTGTTGATGAGGATGTAGAGAAACTGGAATCCTTGTGTGTTGCTGGTAGAAATGTCAATGGTGCAGTCATCATGGAAACACTGTGACAGCTTTCATCAAAACAGTAAACAGAGAATCAGCACGTGATCCAGCAATTCCACTTCTGGGAACGTCCCCACAGGAATGGAAACAGGGACTCAGACAGAGATTTGGACACCCATGTTGATAGCGGCATTATTCACAAGAGCCAAAAGGTGGACACACCCAAATGTTCATCAGTCAATGATCGGCTAAACAAAATGTGGCGTGAACCTGCAATGTCCACTGAGCCGGACAATGGATGAAGTGTTGGTGCACGTTACCACGTGGATGGACCTCGAAAACATTACGCTGAGGGACACGAGCCAGACATAAGTGGGCAAATATTGTATGATGCTGCTTCTATGAGGAACCTAGAACAGTCAAATTCACAGAGACAGAAAGCACAATAGTGGGTCCTGGGGGCTGGGGAGAGAGGAGCGTTATTGTTTAAAGGGTACAGAATTTATGTTTTGGGTGAAGAGAAAGTTCTGAAGATGGGGACAGTTGTGATAGTTTCTACAACAATATGAAATTAATTAATGCCACTAATCTGCACACTTCAAAGTCATTAAAATGGTAAATTTTTAATGAATATTTTACATCTATTAAAAAAAAAAGGCAAGGCCCCAAAAGGCAATTTAACCACTGAACCAATGCTAAAAAAACATATCTATAATTTTTTTGTTGTTCTTTAATGAGTTCATTAAATGTCTTTTCTGGTATAAACCACTTTTAGTTGGGTGTTTATTTTACTACTTTCAACCAAAAGCATCCAAACTGCAACAGAGAGGTGGGACAAGGATGAGCAGAGGGCCCGGGTGAGGGGCTTTAGAGGAAGTAGCCCCTCTGCTATGTGTTGTGTCCATAGAGAAGATTGGAATTGAGACGGGGATCAGCCTGCCCAGCCCCATCCCAAGCCCCCGCCTCCTGCTGTGGACCAGGTGTCATGCAAAGAGATGTGTTCTGGGATCCTCCTGGACTTCTCAGGTCTGCAGAGGAAACAGTCACCAGGAGCGTCAAGGGAGGGACTGAGAAGGCGCAGAGGGTTCAGGGAATCCACCCAATCATCCTGATCAGGCAGCAGGAAGGCAGAGAGCTCTCCTGAGCTCAACCAGCAGCTCACAGGGTAGTTCCCCTCCCTCTCTCCTCCCCACCCAAACACACACCATTCCCCATTCCAAGCTGGATGAGAGCAACCAACTGCAGGTCGGGCCATGGTCTGGAATCTGTCAAACTGAGAAAAAAGAGGATTAGGATTATCCCTGCAACAATATTTATTGCCTGCCAACTGTTCCAAGAGTTGAGATGTAGCAGCAACCACCACAGACTGGAGCTCACCTGCCAGGGCTTGTCCTGGAGGGGCTCTGTAGGGAGGGGCTCTGAGCAGCCTGCAAAGGAAGAAAGCAAGAGGAATTGAGCTTCCACAGTGACCAAACATCCCCCTCAGGCTGACAACTGCCTGCCCACTGGATCTAGCCCTAGCAGGGAGGCAGGAGCAAAGCTCTGCGCTGAGGGCCCCAGGGCAGGGAACGTCACTCCTGGGCCAGAGAGTGCATTTCCTATCGCATCAGCAGCCAGGACCAAGCCAGCACCAGCACGCCCTGTGTCCTGCTCACTCTGTGCCAGGCACTGTGCTAAAGTCAGGATCACGTGTGACTCAGCTGCTCCGGCCGAGCCTT